GGTGAGGTTATGTAATGTCTTTAGGTTATTATATGGTGAAGTTATGGTGAATATATATAGGTTACTATATGGTGAAGTTATGTAATGTTTATGGGTTACTATATATGTCTTTAACCCACAGACATTACATAACCTCACCATATAGTAACCCATTTATATGGTGAGGTTATGTAATGTCTGTATCTTTTCTAATAAAGAAAATTCACGATAAATAAATATTGTTTAAACTTTATAAGTTTTTGTATCTAACAATTTAACCTGTTCAGTATAGCTTGCTGAAGATGGAATATGTATATTCCGAAATGTTCAAGAATTAAATGTTTCTTGCTCTACACACACATGTTCGTTGTTGTTACCGTCGTTCAACAAATGATGTTTTTATGTTTGTTATTCGTATCGTTAAGGGGTTGTATTTCATGTTCAGGAGACTTGAAAATATGAAAACAATCACCTACAAATTAAAAGAAATCTTCGGATAAATTATTACATTTGAAATTCACGTCTGTAATAAAACAATCTTTATTGGATTTATTTCTAACATTCAATAAACGTAATTTATTTAAAGTTTATTCCCGACCTAAGTAAAGATCGAAAAGTCAATAATATATAATGATAAAGTTGAAATAAAATAGAAATTACGATCAGTTATAAAAGGAACTGTAATGTCGAGACCACAGAATAGACTGTTCGTTTCAACCCGTCAAACGCGGGGAATCTAACTCCAGATTTCAGTGTTGTTAGTCCGTAAACTTACCTTTGATCTACCGGATAACTCGGGTTAAACCGTTTTCTTTAAACTTATTACATGTGCTTTTAGATATAAATGTAATATCAACGCACTAAAAAACAGTCTTGAAGTTCGTGACATTTTGATGGAAGGATAGAGTGGGATAAAACACTAAATGTGTGATTTTGGAAACCGGAAGTAGAACCTCCGGTTCTCGTATGGTTCACGGTCTCTTACTTCTCAAAATCCCTGGATCCCCCCCCAACAGTACAGGTTGTAGGTTTGGCTTGTGGTGACACTTGGGAATACAAAGCATACAATATTCGTAAACCGCTGTTGACAACTGTGGTGACGAAATCTAATGACACATCACTTGTTCAATCTATTTAGCGTATTCAAGTATTTAAAACGATGTGGAGTCTTGATGACATGCCCGGTTCACGTATATTGGTTTGTTTTTTGTATTTATATTCCAATAGGAATGAAGTCCAGTCGGTTGTTGTTTTCTTGGTGCACCTAGAGTTCAGAACGTAGTAAGCAACTGTCCGAGCAGATTGAAGAAAATATCTAATTTAGAAATCTAAGGAGCAGTCAAACGACGTTAATAAAATAAGATAAATGTAAACCGCATCTCCCTTACGTGTCCAATTTAACAGAAAGTTGTGTATATTTCCACATTCAGATAGATGTTGAAGATAATTGTTTTCTTTGTGTCGAATGTTTAAGATAAAAGTCTACAAAAAATTTGTTGATTTTAAGAAAAACGTCTAATGAGATGCAACAGTTTTCATAATAATAGTCCATTTCTGATGTGGTCAATATTAAAATAAGAGCATTAAATACATCATGTTTGAATAAAAATCCGTTTCACTAATAATAAATAGTACTTGGGAACATCAACGTGTCAGTTAGTTGTTGTTTTAACGTAAAGCTATACACTGTACACAACGGGGAATCGAACCCTGGATTTTGGTGTTGCATGTCACTAAACTTACTGGGATTTCCAGTTAGTCCACTGTTCTTTTGCAGCTGTATCAAACATTTGATAAACTCAAAACTATATTGATTGTATCGTTTAATTACTGCAGTCAAAGGACATCTACGAAACACTATGAATGAGATTCTTCTTCATCGGGATTCGGACCAGGGAGGGTCAGGTTCAGCGTTGACCTCTTCCTCCCTATCAGGAATTGTTATTTTGTTTGCACTTTTACTGAACCCTAGGCAATAACCCTTGTTACGTTATTGCATTGTTCACAGTGTGTTAGATTTTGTCCGTTGTCCACAGTTTTAATTAATATACCCTTTTCGTGCCACGTATAATTCATGTGGTAATATTAACTTGTATATTTTCACTAGATTCACTAATGTATCATCACACTATTAGTCCGTGTTCACAATACAGTTCCACTTAGCAGTCATATATACACACACAAAATCCTATTGTTACATACAAAACCTTTTTAAAATAGAGCTACGTTTGTGTCTAGGATTCAGTTAACCTAGCACAGTTTGGTCTGTAAGATTCTTGTTTATGATGCTCAGAAGGGAGAGGAACTTCTTCGGGACTGCAAACATACACCCAAGGGGATCAGACCAAAGTGCTGTCTACAAACATACACCCAAAGGGACCAGACCAAAGTGCTGTCTGCAAACATACACCCAAAGAGACCAGATCAAAGTGCTGTCTAAAAACATACACCCAAGGGGACCAGACCAAAGTGCTGTCTGCAAACATACACCCAAAGAGACCAGATCAAAGTGCTGTCTAAAAACATACACCCAAGGAGACCAAACCAAAGTGAGCATATCCTGTGATGCACGTGCATCTCTAAAGGCTTATTTACGCCTCTGGGTCATGGTGGGTTGTGACATATTATCGTGACTTTAATTTTAGTTTTAAATATAAAAAAACGTGAATGTCAGTAGTCCTTGAAGTCTTTGTGTAAGTACCTACTCCCCTCCCCCTTAACTTCATTTGTAGTTGTTCTTGTTTACTGTCTTATCTGTAAACATTAATTTGATTTAAATATCTTAACCCTAACCTATCGTACCAGTTTGTCTATTTCTTCACATATCTATCATTCATAGAACGTTAATTATATGTAATTCTTTTCTTTATTGTCTTGGCATTTTTACACATTAGAAATAAACAACAGAGAAAAACCTCTATCAAATATAAAAGACTGTTTAGCATAGGTAGTATTAATTAATTATTTTGTGAGTTAATATTTCATGATTGTTTAGTTTTTTTATAATAAGAGAGTTAAAAGCAGACGATTATTGGAAGTTGTGTTTATAGTTCATTGATGTTGAGACTATCGAACGTTGTGTGAAATTTATTGACGTCGAGGATATAGAAATTTCTATAAGAAAGGCAGACGACTAAGTGATAAACCAATAAATAGAGTGAGGTGAGCGGAAACTGCAGACAGACAGAGCAAACGAGAGACCAGAGAACGGGAAGTGAAAGTGCAGCCAAATAAAAGGCTAGAAAACGAAAGTTAACAGTTGTAGGAGTGAAGAGCCCAATGGTTGACATGTTAGAGTAAGACTAACGGTGTTGAAAGAGATAAGAAAAAGAATTTATCTCGTTAAAGCGAGTTATAAAGTAATTGAACCAGCCTGAATGCACTTTGTCAAAAGGAACAGACGATATCTGAAGTACGAGCATACCTGGAAGAGCAGTATTGACTGTGGTAACTCACGCTATAGTTGTAAGTGAAATATACACAGGATACTAGTGCGATAGAAATAGAGAAAGGTAGTTCGGCTTGTCAACTGAAATTCTGAAGTAATTGAATAGGCCTAAGAGGACTTTTGACAACATGAAGAGAACTATATATATAAATAGTATTTATGATATTCCTGTAATCTCTATAGTGTGAAGACTTTGTTGTACATACGTTTAACTTATTCCAAATATATATATATATATATATATATATT